AAGATGTTATTATAACTCACTATTTTTTACTTCTTCTCCTGAGGTTCTCTCATTTCATTTAAACCTCGTTCTTGGCTGCTGGACTCAAGGTGCTGGACTTTTTTGGGCAAAAAAATGGAAGAATGTTTGGCAGAGTTCGGCTTTGGGAGTGACCCTGATTGAGCTTGGCAGACATGACTCAAATGTAGTATTTATAAACTTGCGTGTGCTCTGGATATCCTGTGAAATCTGGAGTCTAAATGTGCAAATGACAGTGGTAATAAAAACATGATGGGAAACATTTTCTGTACAAGACAGGGATTTGGAAGCAGCTCTCTGGAATTAAAGTGGTTGCAGAACCAAAGTGGGCCATGGTAATTGTCATTCAGTTTGACTGGAACCACATCAGCAAGACTGGCCTTCATCCGGACCTCCACAATGCAGCAAAGCACACAAACCTTTCTTTTAAGCCAACTCCAACCAGAACCTCTCAAAGAAGTCCTCAGACCCACAGCAGAGGCAGAACAGGATAACTACATACTGCAAATCCATGACATGATCTGCCAGTGCACTCATGCTGTCAGCATGGGAGCACAAATAGCACAGCACAGTGAGAAAGTACAAAACTATTAAAGTCCAAAAAGTGAATTATGTAAGAAGGTTTAAGAAGTGAATTATTTGCCCCACAAGTGCTCTGTGAGTTAGAAGAACAGGTCAAAGGTATGAACAACTGTTCCGTCCCGTGAAACATGTATGACTTAATAGTTCTTAGAAGATGATATATGAAGGATTCATGTGGAAAAAACAAAACTTGTACTTGGCCACTGTCCTCATATTTATTGTAACAGTGAAATTACCACATCTGGCAGGAAAAGAAGGCAAGAAGACAAAAGAAGACAATCTCTCACCTAGGTGAAATCCACCACTATAATCAGCATCCTCTGGTGATGAAAAGAAAGGAGCCAAAAGAGAACCACAAAATCAAGTTAAAGAGAATAGTCAGAAATGAGCTGCGGCCCTCTAAATATGATAAAGGGAAAAACACACAGGTGCTGTTAAGAAGAGAGTGGTCAGAGAGGTTTGGGGTAAATTTTGCTTGAGTTACATTTTATAGTGTGTTCGTTATTTTTAAATATTGGCCTTTTGCCCAGAATGACAGCCACGCATGTAGAGGTAAATTCAAGGACAGGTTACATATAACCTCCATCTAGTGAGCAGCTAAAGTTGACCAAAATAAACAAAATACTCTCTTTTTCTTTACAGAACTAACAATGCTGAAAAATGTTGATGATCCCAGCTAACTGACTAAGCCCCATTTAGCCTTACAGGCCACTACATTCTTGGCTGTGGTGTTGGACGATTCTTGGAGACAGTGAATCAGTTTGTGCTGTGACTGAGTCCAGCAAATATTACTTGTGACGGGATGATTCTCAAAAATGATGTCCACATTTATGAAAATGAGTCGAGGAAAGGTGAGGCTTTGTAAAATGTTAAAGTCAATAAAATCTATGAGGAACCATTGACTGTGACAACTGATGTTACTCTTAAATAGTGAATAGCTTTAATGGGTCAATTGGGGAGATGAAGTAAGAAGTGGACCTCATTACACACAAATAGCATGAAGGGGAACCAATCACAGATGGTTGGGTTAGTAAAGTCCTACTCGGTGGAGGATGTCAGAAAAGTAGTACCTTCAATCTCTTCAGCTTTGAGTGCAAGAGAAGCAAGGAATGGAAATTAGGTAATACTAAACAAAATATTAGATTAGGAAAGTAAACATAACTCAGGGATGAGGAAGAAATATAAGAAGAAACCTACCAAACTCTACTGTCACATCATCTTAGAAAAGCAGAGCAAAAGACAACAGAGAGAACATTATAAAACATTTTAAAGCTGAGTGCCACATCCACAAACATCCTATGCAGGTTCAATTCAGTCATTTCTCACAAAACACTGAAAAAGCAAACAATTCTCTTCAGTTTTGTAATGTTTGTGAAAAATACCGAGCTTGACCACTACACAGTAACTCCCAGTATCACTCTAATGGTATCACTAGTTTAACTATCTACGTTTCAAATAATAAAATAACTCAAGTTCCACTTGGTTCTGAAACACTCGTCAGGTCTTTCTGAGAGGAAGTTGCAGTACACTCAGCTGTCATGACATAAATTGATGGAACTCATTGAGGAAATCTTATCCTTAACTTCTTTCTTTTTTAAGGTTGGGTTTAAAAAGAACACGTACAGAAACCCTTCATCAGCCATGCTGCTACTAAAAGGTTACAAAAACACCAGTAAGTGGAGCTTGAGTTCAGGTTTTATGAGAATATAACAAACATTTACTTTCTATTTGCTCCTATTTTGATAGAAATGTATATCCATTGTTACCTAGTGATACACAATCTGCGGTACATGTCTGTGGTGCAGTCACTATTTACAGGGGGGAAAAAAGCCATTTAGATTCATAAGCCTCCAAATGATTGATATTGTAATACTGATACAGTCCTCTGTAAGTATTTAACAGTATGAAGCTCACCTTACATCACTGCATTCATTTTCCAGAGTGTTGTTCAGCATGTCCAGAATTAATGTCTAACCAAAACAACAGTCAAGACCTATCTGTGCAAGGTTGTTTGTAGGCTAGACGCATCAGGCACGAGAGCGGCAGCTGTTCTGAAGTGTGTGTACCTTTATCTGACATCTTGTTTCAAATGTCAGAGGTCAGGTCAGTTTTCCCACTGATGTTGCCCTCTTCCTGCTCTAATGTGGCATCTTAAGTTGGGACAGCGACCTCAAAATGTGGTTTTAAGAAGGATGAGAATTACTGTACTGTAAACAAGAGTTTAGCCAGATTTTATTATCTAATTTATTTGAAACTAAACCTTAAAGAAAGAATGTGATGAAAACTGCCATAAAGATGTATGATTAGTTCACCTTTATCAAGTCCATGGGTGAGCTGCCAGGGATGTTTACATTGGAAAAATCTGGGTAATAATGTAATAACACTGTAATACTGTTTGTCTTCATTCTCTCTTCCAAATAAATCCGGCAGTGATGATAAGGAGTTGAACTCTGCAGTTGGAGTCAATCACGGACAATTGCTGAATAACAGTCCGCCATCAAAACCATCCTTGTTATTACCCTCATCATCATCACCCCAAGAGTATAAGTGATTATGCAAATTAGAAGCCAGGCAGCCAAGTGACAATACCAGTTCACATGAACTTGTCTTTTATCTTTGCTATCTGCATTATGCACAGCTTTTAGAAAATCAATCATCTCTTTAGCTAGAGTAACAGCCAGAGGGCAAACCCTCTCCTAATTCATACTAAAGCTCCTGCATGACTACAACAACAATCATATGACCCCTTATGAGCAAGCACTTTGGTAACATAGGGAAGGAAAAACTCCCTTTTAACAGGAAGAAACCTCTGGCAGAACCAGGTTTAGGGACGGGCGGCCATCTGCCGTGACCGGTTGGGGGGAGCAAAGGAAGACAGGATAAAAGACATGCTGTGGACTTAGTGAACAACACACAAAGAGGCTGTAGGAAACACATGGAACAGACTCTGGATAGAAATTTAGAGGGAGAAACATTGAGCAGACAGGAAGGAAAATGAAAACAAAGATAAATCTAAATTGCTTCTCCAGACGACCAGCGTGAACTACACAACTACACGAAAGACTCCAGTGGTGGAATCAGCAGAAGGATGAGTCTGTTTCAGAAATGAACTCCACAAACTGTCCTGACCAGCATTCCTCACTTTTGCCATTCTTCTCTTCCTCCCATCCACCTGTTAAAGACAACTGTCTTGTTGTGGTTTATTAGTCGCTAACACAGCAAATAATATATGCTTACATGATCGTCTAGTAGACCTCCTTAGGGACGAAAGAGTCGTAACAGGTTGCTGAAATGCAAGTCTCCTGAAAGCAAAAAGATGGATAAAGAAAGAAGAAAAAGGAAAGAACAGAAAAAAGAAAACCATCAGTTTTCATGGTCACTCTGGGAATAATAAACACTCTGCTATGCTACAGAAACCCTGCTCTACAATATCCTTCATTTCTATTCTGTCAGCTGAGACTGGTGAAACCAAAGATTGAGGAGGTGAAGAACAGAACATCTTTCTATTGACAAAAGTAGATTAATAAACCTGAATATAAAATTCAGGTTTACTCTTCAGCCTTCCTCTTTCTGCCCAAGCCTCCTGAGCTCTGTGTAGGTCTGGTGTGTGTTTTCCATCCACTTGCAGTTCAATGTGGATTGGTACCAGCACTATCATTTTCTGTCATTACTCACTTTGGACCAGAAAATGTGTGGAAACCCAGACTACTTTGGCAGTGAAGCAAGAATACATGAATTAAAGAGGGAGAGAAAGAAGATGGAACATCTATGACAGTGACAGCACTGAAGCCAATAAGGTCAGCCTTGTGTTTCTCACCTCTCCTGGAACTGTTTGGATGGTATTAAGCCAGCACGAGGATTTGTGTCGCCCTCGTGTTTGGCCTGCCACCAGGTTGCATCATCTTGGCTCATGATCTGTAGGATGCAACCCTTCTTGAAGGCCAAACCAGCTTCCTTACATGGGATGGTGTTGTCATCTTTTGGGTCGTAGTCAAAGAGCGCCTTCACAAACATCTGTACATCATCATGAGGGAAAGGCAAGAAAACAAAGAGGAGGATTGAAGACACAACAGGAACAAGTTCACTATGTTGTATATAAAATGTTTTCTTTCTAAAACATTGTCATCATGGTTAAAGGTGATTCACCAAAGCTCAGAGTGATTATTCTCAAAAGATTACAGCAATCGATGGTAAACGCTGCAAGTGATGGCCAAGATGGTCTTTCAATGACTTTCCACTATCAAAGGGTCTAAATCACTTAACAAGTGGATAAACCAAATAACAGAGAAAGACAGGACCTACCTGTGGCTCCTTGATAGATGCCTCGTCCTTTGCACCAGGGACAACTTTAAAGGTAATGGCTCCTTGTGACTGTGCCTAAATAATGTAGGAACAGAAGTTGGAGTAATTGTAAAGGATAGTTTTCATATCCTTTTAAGTATTTTATAAGAGACCTAATCTAGTTACAGTGACATAGCGTCAAGCATTGATTTTTCAACAAAGGAAGGTTTAGTGGGATAGTATAACCATTCTTGACAGAATTAGGGAGTACAGTGCAGGGGTGTAAAGGAGGAGTGATGAGAGCTCAAAGACTTTTGTGTCTGAGAAGGCCTTAAGAGTTTAAGATCCCAGGCACATGACAGAGCTCATTTAGGTCTGTGACCAAAGCTGCGTGGAGGAACTACACATCATCGGCCTCATCCACAGAGACTCAATGCATGTGATCTATCGGCCAAGACAGACTTTCCCATCAACACGGCAATGGGAGGCCTGGGTCATGGATGAGTTGATAAGGGGAGGTTTCTGTCATTATAAACAAAGGCTGGTACCAAGGGAGTGGAGCTGAAAAACCCTCAGTCTCACAAACGTCCATAGAAAGACAATACTTACCAGAATACGAATGATTTCCTCTGGTTTCTTGTCGTCCACAGGGATTCCATTGACCTCCTTCAGTTCGTCCCCTACATGAATTAAGCCTGCCACACATAAACAGACGTTTTCTATTAGATGGCAGCACCTGATACCTACTAGAGCAGTCGTTCTGAGCAGCCTGAGTTGATCTGAAACTGTGATGTCAACAGACTCCATGCCACCATGTGATGCCAGTCAATTACGTCACTTGATGAGTCATGAGAGTGATTCCTTCACAAACATCAAAACTGCCCTTTTTGAAACACGGCATCCAGGAAAATGGGTGCAGAAAAACCAACAGTGTGATCGGACAGGTATACCAACACCTCCATGTCCACTGTTGTGTGCTGGGTTTGTGTTGCATACAAATGACATCATGGGACTTTTAAATGAGTTGCTATAACGACCCTATGTAAACTGAGGTGCTACACAGTGACAGAAAATGACAGAAAACTGAGTAGAATCGAGTACACACACACACACACACACACACACACACACACACACACACACACAGAGGCAAACTTATAAAAGAGAGAAAAAGGCTGGAACCAACCACTTCTGTCAGCTGGCCCTCCCTTCATGATCCGGGCCACAATGATGGCACCTGTGCTCTCATCACGTCTTATTGTTGCTCCCTATAAAAGAAGAATAGTCATTATAACAGCATTTCTACCTTTGTGACATTATAATGTGCAAGTCAAACAGCAATGACCTAAAATCACTGTAAAGATGAAAATTAAGGCGTAGAGACAGATAGATACTGCACACAGGATGATTGTTAAGTTACTTACCAGTGGCTCCTTGTTCTTGACCAATCTTATAATTTTCACAGAATCTTCATCGTCATCGATGTCTTCAGGCAGCGGAGGTAGTTCGGGGTCATACTTCTTTTGGGCAACTGCGTCGTGGACGGACAGGAGGCTCTAGAAAAAGGAGAAAATAGGATTTATGGGAGGAAACACAAAACAGGCAAGGGTTATCTGTCAAGCCACGAAGGCCTCAACTTTACCCCAGTCCACTTAGCTAAATAAAGTATGGCCATGCATGCTATTAAGAGTCCGATCTATCACTTCCTTTTTTAAGCAGGACAGAGACACTGCAGACTGCAGGGAGGATGGTTATGAATTGGGTTGTCTCCCTCATGTGCTGGGTGATGGATTTGAAAGCATTCAAGGCCAGAGCTTGTAGATGAACAAGCGTTAATTGCCATTAGGCCCGTGCTCTCCCTCCATACATCTCTCTGATTAAAGGCAACCCAGGCTTGCCCCGCACCATTGCTCAGCAAGAGCTGCAAATGTGACCACCACAAAATCCACACTTTGCAGGGTAAGGTGGTGAAGACTCAAAAGCAAAGTTCTCAGCTCAGATATTTCACACTTTCACGAGCAGACATAAAAAGAGACGGGACGCAGACGGGAATGATGCCATTCAGGAGACATTCATTTTTCAAAGTATTTAACAACCGCGTGTCCGGACCAAGATGCAGCTAGATGCGTGCTGCTTTTTCTGTGGTTTAGAGGGGGGGGGGAGTGAGAAAAACATCTTCCAACCAAAGTGCCAGACAAAAGTAGAGGGGTGGAGAGCAAGAGAAACAGGGAAGAAAGAGAAGGATATGGTGAGAAGAGAAGCAGTGTGTTTTATGACATGGGAGCAGTACAGCATTCAAGATGTTGCTAACTGGGAGCAGATGAGAGGAGGAGACACAACTGGAGCTATGTGAGTAGTCTTTGGAAGGCAAAGAGTCTGTATTACCTTATTATAACTAAAAAGAATAACTTCTTTCGATCAAGAGAATCCCAAATGAATAACACATGTAAAGAAAATCTCACAGCCAGGAAATCTTTAAAAATGGTTGGTTTTGATCCTACTTCAGAGATAAAATGCCACTCCTCTCCAGCTTGTCTTCTTTGGCTTGTGCTGCTACACCGTCTGCCAAAATTCACCAGCCAGCAATGGAGGAAGCAGTAGCAGAAAGAACATTTTCCATTGTTTGGTGGGGAATTGCTTGGCTGACCCCATTCTGCACTGGAGCTGAGAGACCACTGCACAACTACAGCAGCAATTATATGTGTTAGGTGCAGGGGAAAAACATAGTAATGAGCCAAATGAGTACCAGTTTGATGGAGGTGTGTGTGGAGTTGCTGATTCTATGTCGAAAATATGTGCTGCCTGGTGAAATATGTGTGTCTGTACCTATAGCACCTGTAAAAAACACATGCTCCACACTTGTCTTTGAACAGATTAATGTAGTTGTTCTTAATGTGTTTGGAGAATTTAGGAAATGAATCATAATTACCAGCTCAGACATTGAAAAATCCATGTTTGAGAACCACCATCTCTTGAATTCCTGCTGTTTGACACTGATAGGTATTAAATATTTGCATGTACTGTAAGTGTGTGTGTGTGTGTGTGCTATGTTGGGGGAGAACTAGAGAGCTGTTGTTTCTGGCAGAGCCCAAACAAGCATGACGACAGCGCATTAAAAACGGAGCCTGTCCAACTCTGCTTCTATCCTGCCGTCGTGAAGGCAGCTCTGTCTGGCTGAGACACCTGGAGGCCCTGATGGATGGCCCCAGTTATGCATTAGAAAATAAAAATGTGTAAATTTATTTTGTAGCTGTCTGCATCTGGCTAACGAGGTCAGCAACGGCAGCCAAGAAAACGAGACAAGGCCTGGATCTAACAGGCGTGTTATTTTGTGTACAGCACGATGATTGTAACGCTTTAATGTGGCTGCTGTGCAAACAGCAAAGATCCAGAACCAGAATTGCCAAATGCTTTGCTGTTTTTTGGATGGAATAATACAATCCTCCACAAAGAGAATATGTGGTTTTAGTTTGTTAAAATCTGCTCAGTACAAAATAAGCAAATCCTTTACTCACCTTTACATGTGGGTTTGCCAGCAGTTTAAGAAGCTCTTTGACATCCTGACTGGCTGATTTGCCTTCCAGCTCATCAGACACCTGAAAAAAGTCAAGGACACAATGTTCACACAACTGTGCTCAGACCATTAAGCATGCTTCTCTTTTTCAGGTGTGCATGTGAACATTCAATGCTTCGACAAGAAGACAACAGCAGTCTGTATTATGAAAAACCACTGGTAGAGGTTTGTAATTAACAGTTCAACTCTGCAAGGTGTGCTTTGTGTCAGTAATGAATAGAGGACTTGCATTTAGAGAGATAAACATACTAGTTATGCTTTTTCTAAAGAAGTTATGTTGGTGTATCTTCTATTTGTATCATATTGTATTAAGACATAAAAATGCAGCTTTCATTTACAGGATTTATCTGCAGCTTCATCTTGTCTTAAATTAGGTCCATTGCAGCTGGAGGCAAGGCCACACTTTGTCATGTGGCCTAGAACTCCCACCTACTGGCACCTGCCCTTTGATAAATCTTCTATTGTAAAAGATCATTTTCCAATGAGAATCTCAAGAACTAAAGAAAACAGTCGGTTAAACCTGGAAACAATGGGAGCTCTGAGAGCATCACTGATTTATGGAAGATCCTCCTGGACTTGGTTGGAGTGTGGAAAGGAGCAGCAAGCCATCCCACACAGTAAAAACTGACATGAAAGCCACTTGACACTGATGAACCCTTTCTCTGTGTTTGTATTTTTCGTATCTGACCCTGCAGGAATAAAATGCAGACCAATGCTCTCTGATGGCACCAAGTGGTCTGTCCAAGTAACAGCAGAGTTTGTATTAAGATGTTTGGAAGTCAGCCAGAAGAGGAAAACGGTTTTCCAACAGGGAGAAGGATACAAGTCACCTGCTGGGAGTTCTAGACAGTGCGGCCGGGGCCAGACGAGGGTTGAAGTGTCATTTTATGTTAGTCAATAAATTAAACCTCCATTAACCGAAACCCATCTAGACAGACACTGTTCACCAAAGGTTCCTTTAATCGATTCATTTGCCTCCCAGCCAATAAAAAGATCAATCCGTTTAAACAAGTTTTTTAAAACACTTACGTCACGTGCCAGAGGTGCAGCTCCTTCCAGGACAGGGGCGGGCTTGCTCTCCTCATAGTGCTGCAGCCGTTCGTGGATCTGAAAGGACAGATTGTATTCATTATTAAGGTAGTTATTGAGATAGTAGTGAGCACATGTGGAAGAAAAAGTGTGCACGCTGGAAGCCGTGTGCACGTCTCCAAACACACGTGTAAGAAAACATGTACAACCTTCATCAGCACCATCTTGTACATACACAGAGTTCATTAAATCATGTCCTTAAATACCAAAAGCACACACAAAGATCTTTCACTCCCTCGATCCACTAAGTATTTCAGTTAGCTTAGCCACTGTACAAACAATCCAGTTTTCCACCATGCATTCGATATGTCCCAGTGGCCCCGTGATGATTCCAAATCATTTCAACAGTCTGGTGAAATTGGCTAAACATTTCCTTATCAGCCTCAGCGCTGTGACTGCACAGTGTTGAGAGACAGAGCTGCGTCTCTGGAGAGTTGCTAAAATGGAAAGTAAGCCTGACTCGTGCGCTCACTTTCACTCATTTATACACGCAAAACCACTTCATCACATGTGGAGCAGAGATGGAATAATTTATATACACACAAAGCACACGTTCACACCCACGCACACAACGTCAAAGGCACAGTTGCACAACTGTGCCCACGCACACACAGACTCACAAAAAACACTACAGATTTCCCATTTGTGATTTAAAAGCAGCTGCGCAGGAATGCATTGACAGCCTACAGGCTGCTGTCAGGTCCCATCAAGGAACAGACAGGGACAGCTTTCCTCCCAGCAGCCACTCCTGCGTCTCTCCTTCCTCAGGCCCAGCATGGTGAAGGGGATCTGGGCCACGGGTCTGACTGATAGCTGGGCCCCGAGCCTGGAGCTTCCAGCTGGATGTCCTAGAAAGCATTCCAGGAGGATGGTGGAACAGAGGAGCCTCTGGCTGAGGAGAGAGTGACAGAGACGCTCTGGGCCACTTCTATATCTAAAGAGCCAAATCCACACATGCGGGAGTGCACACACACACACACACACACACACACACACACACACACACACACACACACACACACACACACAC